CACCTGAACGAAATTTGCTGAACCATCGTTGACACTTACGGACATGTTCAAAACATTTCCATAAACTTCTTAGATATTCTTTGTGGCTACAGAGGCGTTGTTTCCCTTCTTGTATTCAAACAGCATTACATGCTGAATGTGTGTCCCATTGTGTGCCATCACTATAAGGGATTAGAGTATACTAAACTTTACACATTATACAGGCTACACTAACATGACGTTTAGGTGGTTCGTGTAACTATTATACATGATGTACATTTTAGGGGGGGGGTAATGAAAGTGTTCCAAAACGCAACATTAATTTCTCAATGACCTAATAATTCAAGTAGAACAAGCCTTGTCTTGCATTTTTTAAAACATTTACTTAATTCTAATACTAAATAATTTTCATCCAGCTTTTATAGCAGGCAAAGGCAAGGCTAAAACATAGTTATTGAAATTAGCTTGTAATTTTGTCAAAGCATAATCTAAGAAACAATTTTTCTGCAGATCAGATTGAATTGACTATATAATGCTTTGCACATGGAACAAAGAGTACTGGTCAGCCAGAAGATGCATTACAGATTAAATCCACTTTCTAAGGTCCATATCAAATTTGATGACTCAGGAGATTTTGAAAAAACTACTGGAGTTAGTTATTTTTTTGAAATTCATGAAGATGTCCCTGATCTGAAATTAAATGTACTGTGATGCTTAAGGAACTCTTCTATCTTCTTTGATTAATGTGAGATCTGAAAATTTTTATTATAGCTAAGGATTATGTAATGTGTATTTCTTGTTTTTTTACAAAATTTAACTTGTGTAAACTTCTTGAACCAAAGAACAGTCTCTTTTCATCCTTACTTTATACGTTTAGGTGAAAACTTTTCACTAGAAAAATATCGGTTAATGTTTTTGTTTGAAAATTTAAATTTTATTTATTTTGTTAAAAGCTAGTTCTGTTTGTGAATAAAATACCCTATTTTCTGTTAAACAGAGCCTTATTATATCTACATAAATATCATTCCCAGTTTGCCTCTGAAGAAGAAAGCCCACCTTTCAAAAGCACTCAGGTTATAGGGTTTTTATTCATTTCTGTCAAGACTTCTTGAACCTACGTGTTTTTCTAACATCATGAATATCTACATAAATATAATAGTACTGTCTGTAACTACTTTGCAGGGTGTGGATGGATCTTCACCAAAATTGGTATGGAGGTTCATTAGGTCCATGTGGGGGTACATGCAGATTTTCAGTTTTGTGGTTTTTACAGGTTTTTACCACTACTTTGCCCCCTGTTGATGGATCTTCACCAAATTTGGCATAAAGATTTGTTGGGACCATGTGGAGATACATGCAAACTTGCAGTTTCACGTTTTGTGTTTTGTAGTTTTTATGGGTGTTTTTGCATTTTGTACAACTACATATAAGGGAAGTAACTTTTCATGTCTTAAGATAACCTTTCATTAATCATGAATTTACATAACTTCTGTACAGGGGACAGTTATTCCAGCTAGTATCTACACATACTAAAATATTTTGAATTTCTAAAACTCAGTTGATGAACCCATTAACCAATTTTCAAGAATGAAAAAAAAATTAAAAAGTTGACTGAAGATAGTTGAAAGCTTTATTAGGTTACAGGAGAAGGACCAACTTCTGTCTGCATTGTCTGTGTTAAATGTATTATCTTTAGATTGTTCAGTGTCTAGATAAATTGGCCAGATTTATTATTTCATTCAGTAAGATCTTAATCATTGGTGATTGTATGATTATAATGTAATATCTCCTTAAGGAAATAAGTCGAAAAGTCAGACCAGAAATAGAATTGAACAAGTTACTTCATTCTGATTCTTTGAATAAGTTTTAAATTGCAAGAATAGAATGAAGTAAAGTGAATTTAATTTTTAACAGAATAGTATTTACATTTGTTTTATATGCCCAAAGTATTACTGACCAAATAACTGGATCTGATCTGATAAGTTGTGCGTGTGTTGTATATGAATTTTATAGCTTGCATGTAGTTTTGTGTGCTTTACAGCAGCATTTCTCAACACATGGATTGTGCTACTCAAAATTGGGTCATCAGACTATGTGAAAGGGCCATGAATAGACTTTGAAAATAAATAGTTTATTTACTTATTTATTTAATAAGCCAAATGTTTTTGCACTAAAGCTATTTACTGGGTCATGATTATCCATCTATGTTTTTGAATGAGTCTTGAACCAAAAAATGTTGAGAACCTCCGAGTTAAAGTGAATGTTTATCATATTAATAATTAGTCTTTAATTAATATTTATTATCACAATCAAATCATTCAAATTGTCTTAGAAAGATCAATTGTACTTCTCATGCTTTTTGTTGTGTGTATACATTATTCCATACAATTTTATTGATATTTTGTCCTGCCTTGTAACTTGTATATTTGATGTGTGAAAGGCATCACCTTGAGTCAGTTTGAATGTTGAGACTAAGATTAAGTAGTAACAAAACAACTTAATTGAGTAATCTTATTAGGCTTTGTAATCAGTATGAAAAATTACCCAGAAAGCAAATATATATATATATGTATATTGTTTACTCATCAAATACTGTTTAAATGCAAGTTCACTGTGATTATTAAAATACATATAATATAATGCTGCATCACTATATGAAGTATAGTCTTGTTCTTTCAATTTGCCCTTGTCTATGGCTACTGATGAGGGCTGGAATTCCCTGAAACTGGTATAATCCAGTGACAAGTGGTGAATCAGATGATACAGTAAGCTTCATATTTATATTTAATATTTTAAACAGCTTGTCTGCTGAATAATTCAGAAGAATGCATTAGTAACACCAATGCTACATATTCTTCAAATCCTCTTTAAATATAGGTTCGTTGTGGTGAGTAAAAGACTAATAAAAACACCTTACATGTAAGTATTTACTGCTAACAGCTTTGGCTTTAATTTGTTCCCTTTGCACATGCAAAATACAAACAACCTGGTAGAGAAGTAACTTTTTTTAAATCAGGCTTAGCAGTATGTATTGGTCTGTTAATTGTTCAAAGCATGGAGCATAATATTTTAGTGTGGGCTTTTTATTAATGTAGCTCTGAAAATTACTGAATTCTGAATGAGTTTTGTTCCAACTAAAACTATATATCTAGACAAACTGCTGGGTGATATGTAGTTTGTATGTCTTTAAGTTGCATTTGTGCAGAACTGCAGAGTGAAAAGAGGCTTAAGATGTATAAGATGCACTTGCTTGTCACTAAAGATTAATATGAAGCTTAAGCTTTATAAATTGCACATAAGAAAGCTGTGCAGACATTATTTTTGGCATAAAATGGATAATAGCTAAAAGTAAATTAGTTTGGTTTTACTTGTATAATACTACTAATAATTAAGGTTTTACTAGTATAATACAAGTAATAATTAGGTTTTACTTGAGTATACAAGATTGTTTTAATAGAGAATTCAAGTCATGGACTACTGACTCTTTTGTATCATCCCTTTATGACATGATTCTTTATATTTAGAAGTATTACTGTTTTTTTTTATTCTAATTTAGTTTGTTTACATGTAAAAATGATTACATTACAAGATACATGGAAATATTTTATTACAATAGTTTGTGGTGTAGGTTAGTTACATTGTTGTAGTTGTAAAAATATGATGTTAAGATAAAGTAATCCAGCCAGCACATGATTAGCTTGATCACTGCATGTGATGCTATTCTGTTTTTTTATTTCTCATGTCCAACAAACCTCTCTCTCTCTGCTTTTTCTTATGTTTAAAGTGGTGTTATATTATAATACTTATGTAGATTGTATGATTTATTTCTAGATCATATGCATATTTTACATGTATAAACAGCTGATTATAATAGAAATTGGGTTTGCTGTTATGGGATTTTGAGTAAAAGCTCTATGCTTCCTAAAAAGAATTTTTAAACATATTTAAAAGATAAGTGTTGCAGAAAACCGTGTACTGTATTATTAATGAAATTAATTTAAGATCCAGTTATGTTTACTTAAAAAATAACTGCAGTTTGAATAAAGTAACTTATATTTTGCTTTAACATACTAATACATTGTCTTCCTAAACAACATGCACACTATTTTACACTGACCAATTAATTATTCCCTTTCAGTCTTCCCCAGGCCATGTCTTGACCTCCATTGCTGAGGATAATGAGCATGTGTAATGTACTCTCCACTTGAGCTGTATCTAACGTCGTCATCATGACTCTCTCAAAATCAGGTCAGGCCTTGGGCCATGGTTCCACTCATAAACTAGCCAGTAATACTGCTTAGCAAAGTGAATGTTGTTGACAAGAAGTTAAAATACTCAATATGAATGAAAATGATCCAGCAGAAAAACACTTTTTATTGTCACAATTTTTTCTAGAGGTTATTCTATTTCAGAATAGTTTATTATAATTGTAGTGCCACAGTGTCTTCTAAAAAAACATAAAATGAAAATAATTAAGGCCCTGTTTCCTGTACTTTTAGTATATTTTAGTCCTTCATTCATCTGTGTGTTTTTTTAGCAGGATAAGTCCATTTTTAAAGGACTAGTTTCAGTCTTTATTTGTGGGTGAGTTTTTATAAAATATCTACTTATGTAAAATGAATATTTGTAGGGAGAGTAAAATTTTTCAGTCATCCTCTGAAGGATTAAGAAAAAAGAAATGGTGTTTATGAGGCATTGATTTGCCCCATGCAAGGATCACAAGTTATATTAGACTTCAAATATAAGTTGTTTGGTTATTTTATTGTATAAAGTAATGCATATAGTTTACATATTATGCATTTTACATTTTCACCTGGAAAAAATTAAAACCTGTTTACTTTTGAGTTTCATAGAGTATCAGAATAATTTGAAGAGTAGGTGTACTTCACATTTAAACATTTTCAGTCTAGAAAGCTACAAAACAATAATTCATTATTAAATCATGCACAATCCTTTCATAGATCTGTAGTAGACATATGAAAAAGTCCTCATAAATGTAAGTTATCTTGATTTTTAGAGAAAGTTGTTGGATTTTAAGTAAAATTCTTGATCTAGTTTTGCATCTTTTAAAAACTTTTTCTGTACTTTAGTGAAAAAAAAATCCAATAAAATATTCACACTGTTGAATAAACTGACCATGTATATATATAATTTTGTTTTACTTCTGTGCTAGCAGTTATGCTTTTATACTTTAGTTTTGAAGACTTCATATTTACTGTGTAACCTCCTTTTTTATTTTATTCTCTTGACTTGTTTGTAAAGCTTGATTTAACTTTTTTTTTTCACATGCTTTTAGGATATTATGTGTATTTATATTATATTTGCAATTTATTTTTACCTAAAATCAAGTATGCAACTTTTTCGTATTCATTATCTTTATTTTGACATAATTTATATTATCATTGGCTTTTATGAGACATCTAATTATTAAAACTAATTACAACACAAGAAGCAAGCTATTAAATCTTACAAGATAATTTTTTGGCATAAGAACTTTCACATCCTTCCATTATTATAGAGAATTGAGAATAATATTGTAAATCATGTAAAGATTTAAAACTAATGTGCAATTACAGTTTATTAAAACTTAACTTGATATATTCTACTATTCTAACAAACACATTAGTAATTTAAAAAAAAAATGCATTAGCAAGATCAATCGATCATTTTCCCAATAGTTGATATAATTATACGTACCTGTAGGCCTATCATTTGGAATATCCAGGTTCTTAGTGACATCAAACGTGCAGTGTACTATAGTTTATGTGATCAGATGAACATATAATCCCTAGACTCTTCACAACATAAAATGTATTTTATCATTATTGATACAGTTGTACCCACATGTAGCTCTACCATTTGTAATCATTAGTGTCTTAGTAACATCGAGCATGTTTTATCACAACTGGTACAATTACATATACATGTAGCTCTACCATTTGTAATCATTAGTGTCTTAGTAACATCGAGCATGTTTTATCACAACTGGTACAATTACATATACATGTAGCTCTACCATTTGTAATCAGTAGAGTCTTAGTAACATCGAGCATGTTTTATCACAACTGGTACAATTACATATACATGTAGCTCTACCATTTTTAATCAGTAGAGTCTTAGTAACATCGAGCATGTTTTATCACAACTGGTACAATTACATATACATGTAGCTCTACCATTTGTAATCAGTAGAGTCTTAGTAACATCAAAAGTTATATGTACATGTAGGCCTATCATCTGTGATCACTAGATTCTTATGGTCATCAATCATGCATTTTACCAGTGTAGATACACCATTTTTAATGAGATATTCACCAAGATCAAGCAAGAAGTGAACAATAACTAATACAAGTACATGTTGATGTATTACCTGTAAGTTTTCAGCAACATCAAAATTGTTACGAGTACCTGATACAGGTATTTCTAAATATTAAAGTTGCTATTTGAGTTTAAAACATCACTTTTGCATGTTATTTTGTGTAACTGATTAGGTATGTTAACAATAACTACTACAAGTACATGTTGATGTATTGCCTGTAACCACTTAGCTTTCAGGAACATCAAACTTGTTACAAGTACCTGGTACAGATATTTCTGAATATTAAAGTTGCTAATCGAGTTTAAAACATCACTGGTGCATGTTATTTTGTGTAATTGATTAGTTGTGTCCATTTCCTAATACTTTACTATTAAGTAAACTTTATTTTTATGCCTTACTGCAAAACATGTATTGAGTTTTCTAGTGATCAATTAGAATATAGACCCATTCTCTGTTGTTTTTCATAATTTATCAAGGATGAAATAATAAAGAATTTCCGTAAAGAGGAATTGTAACTGTTACTCTCAGTTGTATTTTTTTTTATTCTTCTGTCTGCCTTTGTTTTTTTTTTAATAGTTATAAAACTATTATTTAACCCTCTGTTGATGTTCAGAGATAGCAAGAGAAATGTGATGTTTACGTTATACCTACTGCAGTATTTTGATATCAGTAATATTGGAGTTTAATTAAGTGCATTATAGGCATTTTTTTTTACATTAATGCAATATTTTATTACTTTATTTAGACAATGACAGAAAGAACACTAATAATAAACTCCAAGTTCAGTTTTTGATCATTCAGTAATATTAATGTACTCGCGAGTTGCAGGAAACTCTGGCTGTATTCTCAATGTATACAATAGTTTTCATTGAGTATACTAGTAAAAGTAGTAGTGAATTTAAAATCTTGTATCAAAAATATTCCTCTACACTGTTTTCTTGTGGGTTTGTATGATGTTATTAATGTTCTGTAACTTGCTTGTAATATTTACTAATTCATTATTTTGAAGTGAAAATTGATTCTCAAAATGTACCCTGAATGACAACATTTTGAGTAATTATTTTGTATCCAATAATATGTAGTGTTTTAGAAGGTGTTCATTTCAAACAAAACTTGATATATTATTATCAGTTTTATAAAAGGTTTTTATTATTATTAAAGTTTATTTAGTTTTTCATGCAGTGATTTCACTAGAAGAACTGTTCTTAATGTTCTGACGAAATGTTTTTAAATTGCATGTACAAGGGACAATTTCACGTTATATGACTTTAATTTATACAAATTTAATGTAAACTATTCCAGGACAAAAGAGGATAAATATGTGATATGTTTTTATCGGTTAGACTGCTTTCAAAATAATTTGGGTTTTGCCAGGAAGATATTTCATTTCTAATATAGAAACCAGAAAAGAACAAAACAATTATATTAAAATGATTGTGGTATAAGCACTAAGAATATATTACTAAGTTGTGCACACTTTGTATATTTTGAAATTATTGTAATTGTGTTTTGTAGTTAAAGAGACTAAAAAAATTTTCAACATCAGCATAAACTTTTTTGTCAGATAAAATGAGTTTAAACTGTGAAATGTAGTCTGTTGTTTACAATAATTTTTTTTTCTAGAATAAAAATGTTGATTTGAAACGTGAAATAGAATCTGAAAAGTTTTGGTTTTAAGATGAGAATTTCAGGATAGAATCAGGTTATTGACTTACTCAGTTTTAGTATTTTGATGTTGATTTACTCACTCTCACTTTTTATTTCAAGCTAATTTCAATACAGTAAATTATTTTTATAATTTAAAAACAATATCAGTTTAAACACCCATCATTTTACTGTTTTCATTCTTGTAAATGTAATTTATTATTGCTTTTCTCACTCCTGTAGGGTGTTATTAGCTTTGTCCGCTTCCTGTTTGTTTTGTTACACATTTCAAAAATTGCTGCTATACCTCATAACCATCTAGTCTTATTACTTCTGATGGTAGTTTCTTATAATCACCCAAATCTTTTACACCTTATTAACATTGTCTCATAAATGCCCCAGCCTTCAGTTTCTTCATAAACATTAACGACTGTGTCATCGAAATCTTCGTGTTGTTTCACTCTTGATAAACTACATTGTCATGTTTAACTACTCTTTACTTTCACTGCTAATGTATAAAGGTTGTCTAATATGTTTGCTTTTTTCAATGTCATCACTACCTAGTTCTTGTTGATGACTTTTAAATATTTGCAATGAATATTGTTGGTTGTCTTATAGATATCCTATCTTATTGATATCCTATTTTGTTTTTTTAAGGTATTCCGAATTATTTCTATTGGCTGACTTGTATTCACCCAATCTTCTCAGTCCCAATTAAAATTTTGGATTATCTTGTGACTAACCAGTTCTCTTACTGTTTTGAAAATTGCAAGATATTTGCAAAGATTAATGTTGTTTGCAGTATAACCAAGGTATATTTTTGTATGTGACAAACAATATTGGTTGTTATAACTACCTTGCTTATTCATTAACATTGTTTACTGACTCATAATTACCTAGGCCTTTCATTTTTTGTTGAAGACTTGAGCAATTCTGATGAACACTGTGGCTTTTTTTGTACTTCTGATGAATGTTGTTGGATGTCCTGTTAGTTTTATTCTGGAAGATTAAGTACTTCTGATGAACATTTAAATTCTTATAACCATCTTCTTTCACTCATGATAAATATTTTTAGGTATATCTTAACTATCTAGTTCCATCATTCTTGTTCAAGATCGCTGGCTACTCCTGATGTACATTATTGGCTGTGTAATATGCATTCAGTCTTTTAAGCCCCAATTAACAATGTTCTTTAAAATTTACTCGGCTCTTTCTCTATGATTGAATTTATCATAATGACTGTTGAAGTTTCCCTATTCCTATTGAATGGTGTTGGCTGTCTCATTATCTTCTACTTTTATCATTTGCATAGAAACTTGAGTATATTTCATAACCACTTTAGGCCTGTAGGATCAAACATTTCTGGATTTGTCTTACATTATTTTGTATTCCTTCCATTTTATTTTAAAACATTTGTTTGGTATTACTAAACTATCATCCAAAATATTTCATTGAATTATTGATAATTGTGTTTATGAGTCCTGTTTCCTCCCTTGCATTCTGTGTATTTTCATTTACATGTTACCCATGTTTTATGTATTTTTGATATTCTGTATGTATTACATGTTTCTGAATCCTTTTCCATATATATGTCACTTTGACTTTTCATATGGTTATCAACTTTTACTCTTAAATGTTACCTATCTTACAATCTAAAATAGAATGGTTTTCATTTTTTTTTATAAGTACTAGCCTTTAAGTTGTTAGAGTAGGCAAGATATTCTGTCTGTCTATAAATATATCAAGGTATGAGCAAAAGATTTCATTGGAAGAAATTGTTAAAATAATGTATGGCAACTGTACTTAACTTACCAAAGAAAGGTAATATTTTGAACCAATCACAAAAATTCTTTCTGCTAGAAAACTTTGTAGCTGCATCTGTGTTACACTACTTATAGTATCTTGTATATGCAATGTAAATATTGTTCTGAAGTTATGTGAATAAAGATACTGTAAGTAGTGCAACACACAGGCAGCTAGATAACTATTTTGTTTACATTGCATATACACTGTCCTGAAGTTATGTTATACAGAAAATAGTTATTTCTAGCTGCCTGTGTGTTACACTACTTACAGTATCTTGTATATGCAATGTAAACACTGTCCTGAAGTTATGTGAATAGAAAATAGTTATCTAGCTGCCTGTGTGTTACACTACTTTCAGTATCTTGTATATGCAATGTAAACACTGTCCTGAAGTTATGTTATACAGAAAATAGTTATTTAGCTGCCTGTGTGTTACACTACTTACAGTATCTTGTATATGCAATGTAAACATTGTCCTGAAGATATGTGAATAGAAAATAGTTATCTAGCTGCCTGTGTGTTACACTACTTACAGTATCTTGTATATGCAATGTAAACACTGTCCTGAAGTTATGTTATACAGGAAATAGTTATTTGTTTAAGATTAAGACTGATTACAGGTAGACAAGCTACCATTCACAGTAATGTAACAGTGCTGCAGTGAGATTTCAAAGTTAGGGGTATTGGACAAGAGATAAATATGATTTTCATTGGTAAAAGAATGTATAGCATACAAAGTGCTGTATTCAGATAATGAATTATTACCTTTTACATGAGTTAGAAATATTTAGAGATTTAAATATGATTTTCAATGGTAAAAGAAGTACATATAGCATAAGTTTGTATTAATTGAGTAATCAAGTGATTTATGCAAGAAATATAGCTTGTTTCTTAAATACAAAACAATACCTGTAAGTAAGTTCAGTATGTTTAAAAGAGATGAAACTTTGAATTGTCTTCTGCAGGTAAGAAAGTTATGTTTGTAAAGAAAGGAATGCATTTTTTTCAATATGAGAATATGGTTTTAGATTAAGATTGTAGAAATATGCTATGTTGAAATTTAGTAAAATTACTAGTTTTCGAGTGAATTGTACATTTTTTTTCTGTGATCAAAGAATTAAATGTAGACACTTATAAATGGTGTACAAAACATGAAGCTCTTTGATTGAGATGTGGGTGCAATATTCTGAGAAGCCTTAATTTTTCACACAAATGATACAAAGCTAAATAGTTGAAGTTTGTCGTAAAGAATAATTTAACATGAGAAGAAATTAGCACTGGAACACTATTTTTATAGTGAAAATAAATTCCAACTTCGTGTTTATTAAGCTTCTATTTAAACATGTTTACTGGACAGAGGTACATTGTGTTATGGGTAAAATTTAAGCATTTTGCTTATTAAACTTCTATTTAAACATGTTTACAGGATAGAATAACATTGTTTTATGGGTAAATGTGTTTATTAAGCTTCTATTGAAACATGCTTAGAGGACAGAGTTACATTGTGTTATGGGTAAATTTTATGTCTATGAGTAATTAAAGGTAATAAACTAATTTTGTTTTGAACTTGGACAAGACCTATAAGCATTTTAAAACATCAGTGAGAGCCAAATATTTGTGTTGTTTGTAAATATTGCAGGTTAAAAAGTAGGAAGTTGCTCTGAGTTTCAAAATGGGACAGTTTACCTTAAAGGTTGTGTTTTTATTTTAAAGAGAAAAATATAAACTCACCTATGAATAAGTGAAATTTATAATGCATCATTTTTTAAGCAACAAAGTTGCTGTCCTTGTCTTGTGATTGTTGAATATCTAAATTTTCTTAGAATTGAAGGTTACATTTTTCTTTAAGTACATATGGGCAATAATTGAACTAGAAGAAAAATATTTATTATTCTTAGATTATCTGGGATATTAGTAAGGTATACATTATACATTAAGGTATACATGTATAGCATTTATATTTTTGTTATATTTTGTAAAGACTGCTGCATTAATGTTTGTATATTGAATTCATGTAACAGATAACCTTTGACTTTTCTTTCTTACTAAATATTGCATTTTGAGGTAAAAACAAATTTCTCCAAAATTCTCACTAGGAATTATGGAGTGTGACATGTTACTATTATATTATGCTTGTGCATGTATGTTTTGCTTTTAAATTTTTTACAAATTCTTTTACAGTGATTACTTTGGTGTAAAATTGTTATGCTAAAAGATTTAGAAAGCATTTGTATGAATGATTGTATATTGGAATAAAAATTAGAGAACATATTTTCATTGCTTAACTCTTTAAAAAATGTTGCATGATTGTTGAATATTAAAATATAAATACCTTCAGTAAAAAGTGTGTGGATTACGTTTATCTTAAAATAGTTCAGTACATTAATATTTATGGTAGAGTTCTTGATTTTTGCTGTTACTTGCACGTGTATTTTTTTTAAAGAAAGGGCTGGGTTTGATTTATAAATCCTTTACTCACCACTAATAACCTAAAATACTTTAGGTGTTTGGATAACATGTGACATATTGTCACAATTAATTATCCATTATTATTCAGTGGACTAGCTACTTATTTATTTAATTAATTTCTTTTCTTCAACACTATGAATTTCAATGAAAAAAAAGATGACATTGAGGACTAATCTGTTTTTTGAATTCATGGCTAAACATTTGATGTACGTTTCTGAAGGACAAAAGATTTAAATAAGTTTGTTTAGGGTGACAGAGAAAATTGTTAGCTAGAGTTAAAATGTGTAAGAAACCCATTAGTAGCAACATTATTTGTGGTTTTGTATTTATTATGACTGAAAGCAAGACAATTGTTTACTATGGTGGGAGTGAGGAAACCTTAATTATTTCTTATTCAAATTCATTGTGTTTCAATTATTACAAATTCATTTTGAAAGACATAGTTCTATGACTTTTGTGGGTGGAATGTTTGTAAATAAAAAATTCACATCAGAACTGATAATTAAACATTAAACTGGTAGTTGCAGATTCTTCATTTCACCAGACAATGAAAATTAGACAAGAATTCTTTAATTTTTTCTTTTACTTGTGAGTGGATTAAAGAACTTGATTATATTGTACTTGTGTTGCTTCATTTGTCTAAATATGTGTCAAAGAAAAATCAATTTTGGAACTTTGAAAACCGTATAGTATAGCTTTATTGATCCACTAGTTAACTATTTAAACAAGCCATCAGTAGTATCTGTTGTTCACTTGAAAAATGGAAGTAAGGTTATCTGAATCAAAATACTTAAATCTAGGATGATGACTTTGTGCACCATTGGAAAAATACGTTTCATCCATAAAGAGATTTCTTATTCTCTTTTGTGATTGTGGACAAGTTATATCTTGTACTGCAGTATTTTACTGGTATTTGATATTATTCAACATATATCTCACCCATTTACTGTAAATGATCTTGCTGCCCGTTTTTCAATCATGCTTTTATTAATTCTTATACAGTAAGTAATTCCATGTATCTGTTTTATGTTTATTTACCCATTTCTTATTAAATTACCATCCCCATCTTTCAAGTTTTAAGAAAAGGTCTGGTTATATTGGCTTTTCTTATAAAGTTTGACTAATTCAGAAAGGGCAGAAAGAATGTCCATCCTGTTTTAATTTATTCTGCCACCTTTATGATCAAGTTGTACATTTTCAACTCCAAATAAATTATCATGATAAGTATGTTCAGTATCCACACTGAACTCTATCTGAATTATCTTACACAGAATATAAGATAATTCCTTAAGAGAGTGCTGATCTAAATTTAAAACATTTTGTATTTCATGTATGATTGAATCAATTCCTTTTAAGAAGTTGTAATCTTGAGAAAATTACTGAGCTAGGATAGATCTTTATATTGGGACATTTTACCACCCAAAAGGCAGTATACGTGAAATTGAGAGAGTTCTGACCACATTTGGAAACCACATTTGCATACTTTACCATTTGAAATTTATTTTTTCTTCCTGTTGCAGAACAAGTACAAATTTGCTTTAAGGATGTGACTCTCTCTTGGTATACAGTTCTGTGTCCAGGCCTGCTGTGCTACCAAATAGTATCATCAGGATTGACCATCAATACTTTATCCATGTTCTTCCTAGTTTTAAAGACAAAAGGACAAAAATGAACTAATAATATATAATAATAAATCAGTTCAGTCAATACCTTAAAAGAGTTAAGGAAAACTATGATAAAAAATAGCTGTAATATTACCTAAAATGTTGTGTTCAATATGCATAATTTACAACATGAGAAAGAGGGAAAATTTGGGTAGGAGGGACTTTGGTGGCACACTGATGTTAGCTATTTTGCTGCCAAGGCATGTTTTCAATCTGCTACTCTTCCTATAGGACAAAAATTTAATTTATTTTTAAAGCCCGAAGAAATGTTACAGTAGTGATTAATGGATGATTACCATATTGGTTCAAAATTTTACATTTTTTGTCCAATTCTTTGCTTGCCAAAATTATTATCTGTCTTGTTTGTGTCATGGGTAACTTCAAATTGGTTTTAACCAATTTGAATTTGGGAAAGCTTCTTTCTTCACTTGCAATGATGATGGACAAAATCAGCAGAATTCTCAGTGCAACAGAAGTGGTGGGAATGATGATGTTCTTCTTTTCTTGCACATCTATTCCAGTAAACTTTTCAAAGTCATGTCAGTCATTCTCTGTCAGAAGGCCTGCAGTTTTTGATACAATTTTTTTTGTATTGACAGCGGTTTACTTGCCCAGTAATAGGTTAATCAGAAAGTCCAAATAGTGTTTCACAAGGTCCTTGAGCTCATTTTTTAACAGAGCAGCAATGCAATACAGAAAATTGTCTAATGAGTCATACTTTTATAGCTGTTCCATGCCTCTTTTCTGTGAATTAGTTGGTTTTGTCAAAATTGTTTTTAAAGAAAGTGACTTTGAAGTGTTGCTGTGGATTGAGAATAAATTCATCAAAATTTTGTTTGAAAACTGTATTCTTCTTTTTTGTAAGCAATACTGTCATTCTTTTCAAAGTTTTCCAGTGATAACCAATTCTTCTGAAAGCTCCTTTGTGTCCATCAGTGCCTTTGCAAAGTTTTCACTAGTCCTGTACTGAGTAAGAAAGTATTTTTTTTTGTACAATTCTAGAATAAATTGAGACATGCAAAGATCATTATTTTACAGCTGTTTGCTGGTGAGGTTGATGAAGTTTAGTATTTTGGCAGCAGTTGCTTTCTCTTCAGAATGCAACTATTCTACTGGTTCCTATTGTCTTCTAAATAGAAATGATCTGAGCTTCATAGATCTCTCCATTCTGGTATCAGACAACATCATTTCTATGTTCACAGTTGAATGGAGACATATTGTAGCAACACTTCCCAACAATGAGTTCAGGCATACAACTATATGTATGTGCTTTGAGTCAAGTCAAAGAATGTTACTGCTTTGGTTCAATATTTGATTCCATCATTCAAAAAACAAAAGAATGTTCATTGCATGATACAAAATAGAAAAAGCTCTTGAATTTATGTCTAGTTCTTTTATGACAACCATTGTTTTTGGTTTTCACATTGGCTCCATTGTCACACCCTTGGCCTTGTAAGTACTTACAAGCATTTTAGGGGTATTGCCTTTTCTTCAAGTTTGATCAGAACAACTTTGGTCAGTCTGGCATTGAGTCTTTTCTATGAAAAAATAAATTGTAACAAATGCTGTTATTGCAGTCATAGATGCCTCAGTACCTTTACTAAAATCATACTATCTTTGCTGTCTGCCTTATATATATTTTGTGTCTTGAGTACGAATGAACACAATCAAGTAATACTTGGCATTTCAATCAGCAGTCTATACATAGTTTGTATTCTGAATGTCTTTTTTCCCAGATATGGATTTATTCAATGGTGATGTTTTAAGGTGTTCATTCACAGCATGATCTAAAATGGCTTAGTATTCAACAATCTTCAGAAAATTTATTTTTCCAAGTAAAGAGCTTCCTATGGCTTTCACAAAGAGCTATATTTTGAGTTTCACAAACCCTTAACAAGGCAATTTGTCTTTAAAGTGCATTTTATCAATTTTTGTTTTATTAAGCAGGTTATTACAGCTTTTCTGTAATAAGTGTCTGGTTCATTTGAAATGCTTGCAGATGATCTGCTGGTTTTTTATGTCAACTTAAAAGTGTTGATATACTTATTCATTCCATTTGGCCACCATCTGAGATATGAGGATTTGGTCTATTAAGATTTGTAAATTATTCTTGCATTGTGACTTTCTCCGATATGAAAGTGTTATTTTCTTTGGCTAGACAGAGTAGTCACACTATGTAGCTTTAACTGCAAAAAGTTTCTCCAATGAAATCAGACAACTGTGCAAAGAGAGCCTGAAGTAATTCTTGTTTTTTTTTTTCTAATTAAAAAAATAAAAGACTACTGTATATTTATTTTGTACTTAACAATGCTTGGCCCTTTTACCCCTTCCATCCCCAAATAAAACAATCCGAGAAATTGCACTGTTAACAATACTTGTAATACCCACTTCCTTACTACCATTTCCTTCAATTTGGGTTATGAGCAGTTTTTTAAAAGAATAGAGCATAATGTGAATAAAGTTACATTACACATTTTTTAATCATTTCCATGTGGAAGTTACTACGATTATGTACGAAATTGAAAATAACTACTAATTAGTTGACCAGTTAGAAACTCCAATATGATCCAATAGAGCCAAGCTTTTGCCGAAGTTACATTAATTGTATATCGTGTAATGCCCTTAACACCCTGTTACTCCACTGAACATGCTGCTGTTAATCATATAGTAGATTACCACCCACGTATATTGTTTTAGTGATATTCTTATCTTTTTAAGTGTATATAATGTAGTATCTTTAACACCCTGTTACTCCACTGAACTTACTAGTAGAATGATTAAGACTGTTTAATTAAAGAGCAGTGATTTGCGTTAATAGTATCACACTACAGCTGTTTCACACAACTCTTCCTCCTCCACATCACACTAAAGCTGTTTTCACGCAACTGTTCCATATCAGTATCACACTGCAATTGTTTTTACATAACTGTTCCATATCATCAACACATTACGACAGTTCCATACTAAATTACACTAACTGTTCCTTGTCAGTAACAGTACAGCCACGTTCACACAACTTTTCCGTATTAGCATCACACTACTCATAAATGTTCCTAATCGCTATGACACTTTAGCTGTTGTCACGTAATTCTTCTGTATCATCACACCTTGCCATACTACAGCCGTTTTCATACGTATCTATGAGATGTAGGGGTTAAGTTTCATCGTAATATAAGGTGATAGCAGGTGTCAAGGTGTCCTCTAAGAACACTTGCAGAATTTCACGTTTAGGAAAGCTGCCTCGTGTGGTATTGACCCACTTTCATTTGATAGTTACAGATGATCAAGGTGTTTCACTTGAGTATGTTAAGACAGCTCTAATAGACAGTGTTGATGAAGGTTTATTTTCAGATCTTGTATATGCTTAATGTAGTAATATTGGTGTTTATAAGCTTAAAAATGCCAAAAGATTAAACTCCTTATTTTTACTTGGGACAAATGACGTAGGTAGTACCTATGCTCTGAGATGGATGGCATTGTTTATGTATAAAGCTATATTCAGAAATTCTAAAACTTCTCTCGGTGAAGCACCGTCTGACGTTCTGCGCACTCGTCTTTTGACTTGCTGTTATATTAAATAAAGATATGTTTTCCTTTAATATTGTATTCAGTCTTTTTTTTTCAAACCGATTAAATCAAATTTTCAATTTTAGCATAATCTTCTGTTATTTGCAATTATCACCTGAAAAGTACATAAGAATACCACAAAAAGATACTACGTATACAGAGTTGAGGACTATAATAACCAAACGAAAAAGATGAAGTTATTGTATTGTTCTTTAGATTAATTGTTGGCAATAGGGTTGTTGTATTATTGTGTTGGAAGAGCTTTTTGTCTATCGGTATAGAAATGTAACATTCAGATACGCTGTCATTTACCTTTCTAAAAAATAAATAACAACCATCTCCACAAGTATGTTCCTCACACCATTACAGCAGCTTACATTGTAGTCCCCCGGTGGGAGAGCGGTAAGTCTTCAGATTTACAATGTTAAAATCTGGGGTTTGACTCCTCTCGGTGGACACAGCAGATAGCTTGATGTGGCTTTGTTATAAGAAAACACGTGTAGTTGGAACATACGGTTAAGACAAGTTTTGTTTACGTAATATTACTCTACAATCAGCGCAGAAAAGAGGTCAAACGTGATTAATCAGATCATAATGGATGATTTCAGTTATTCCGTGTACAGAGCTTGTTATGTAGGCATAAGAAACTTCATAATTTCATTTCTGCATCTGTAAATAGCATATTTTAGACTAGGTTGGTTGTTATGTGTTTTTTATAATGTTCTGCGCAAGTTACAGTTGGAGATAGTCGAATTCTGTTCACTGCTAGAGGAATTTGTCGATTGTAATACATTTATTCCTGTTCTAATTTAAGTCTGTACAGCTACTTTATTCTTAGACAGTCACTATTATTTGGTGACCACAATTTTTCTTAGTTGTAGACGTATTTCATTGTTGTTAGATTTTGATTACCAATTTTTGGATGATAATGCTAGATGGAGATCTACTGTTATGTCCCTTTGGAATTTGGAGAGATCCTTCCTTTCGCCCATTTTCGTTGAAGCTAACAATGATATCACTAACTAAATTCATGTATAGAACACAAGCAGTCACATAACTAGTATTTTAAATATACAACTAGATGGAACTGCAAATATCACGAGGTAGTTAGGCAGTATACAAGATGAGGGCAGGTGTAAAGGCTACAACTTCAATCAATCTACAAGATGGGCTTAAGTGTTCAAAGGTTTTAATTTCCATCCAAGTAAAAAAAAAAAAGTATATATTATTGCTGTGACATAAGAGTACAGCGTGGGTCCAAAGGCGGTTAAGTATAAAATGAGTATATGCATCAAGGCTCTTTGTCTTCAACAAAGTATGAGATGATAGCATATGTTAAAGTGTGTATTCTTCGTCAAAGCATAATATAAGAGCAGGTGGCAATTGCTGTAATGTCTAATCAAGTATAACATAAAAACATTCCATACATGTTCAACCGGATTCAAACCTTGGAGAGCATGCTGGCCATTCCATTTAATACCATATAGAATCTTGCTAAGCAGTCGAGCAGTGTGTAGTTAGGTCATTATCTATTAAAAGAAATATCTGAACACACTATCAGCATATGGTATGCCTAGTGTCTTGTCATATCACACAAAGGTAAAAGGGGAGATCACTACTGATCCATTCCCACCACCACCATATACTTGCTTTTCTTTGTGAAATTAGGATTATATGATCCTGTCTACTCAAATTTATATATAAACATCTTGTGTTTGGCTGCAATGCAAAGTATGCTTTATCCGTGAACAAGACATTAGTCATTTGTTTGACTACGTGATCTTGACATCACTGAAGACAGACTGTTGTATGGAGATGGTTAGAGGGATGTACACTTCTGGTTATTTGGGGCAAACCTTATGAAACCTGTTTTTGTTTGTCATCCACCGTTTGTTTTGAACTGTTAGTTCGTTTGAAAAACTGAGGCCCAACCATTGGTCGAATACATATTCGAAATAGCGGTTATCATGCAGAGTTCTTTACAACGGTTATCTTGCACAGGTCTTTGACCAATTGCAGTGGTAGATTAAAAACGAGTCCACCTCTTACTAACAACATTTCTTTTTTACTTAAATTGCTCTTCAAACTTACTTTGCTTTGTTATACCATTAAAATGCGCATATCAGATAACATGACTAATCACCAAACACTTATTTAGCATAACAATTAGCATAAGAGAGCTATTTATATAATTTGACTGCAGTATTTGTACCTTGTCACAGCTAGAATATAGAAAAACTCCGATCTGCCCTCCTTTCGTAAGCGGAAGCTTAGGGCCTCATATTACATTATGCAAAATCCACCCCGCCACAAGGATTGGAATGTTCAACCAACCTATCTTCTGCGGAAAACCATCAAAATGGCTACAATCTGAGTCCCTAAACATCTAATTCCAAAAACTGTTTTATACACATATTGAGTTGTTGCAACAAAGATGACTTGAAGTGCTCTCATGTGGAAAACCACATGGAGGTTGACGTCTTTCTTACAATATACTGTGTAATAGAAGTATACAGTTATCTATATTTACCTAATGTGGTGAGTGATTGTCTAGTTCTAATATTATATAAACTTTAAAACAAATATATATATATATATATTTTGGGTTGGTATGTCTGGACTGTTAATCTGCTACCATCTTCAGGGAAACCTAGAGAAAGACGGTGTGTAGTGATAGAAGACGGAAATCAATCCCGAGTCTTCTTCTTAGAAAGGCTGATATACTATCTGCTATTCTGAGGTATCATCCCTCATGAGGACTTTCATCAACTATTTGAATAGTTTCAAGAAAGGTATTTAGGTTTTACTAACTTTATGCTAAGTTGATTGTTTGTGTTATTAGTCAGGTGCATGTAGAAAGTTTCCTTTATCTTTATTTTTCTCACGTGTGGTTCATATCCCATTATTTCAGTATCATTCCATTTTATTGTGTCATGTGGTCTCCTCCTCTGTTATGACTGGCTGTATTACAGATTGATTGGTGTTACAGAGTCTTCTAGGTTTAAAGTGCTCCTGAATTTTCACTTTTAGTCATATAGTGTGATGGAGACCACGCTTACATGATACTGTTACGTATCTGCTCGTTTGATAATTTCCCGTAAAAATTCTTTCCGAGAAACTTCATCGATACAAGTCCTTTCTTAATTAAAACTGGTTTATTCTTTCTCATTAAAAACTTTGTAATACTCTTAATTTCCACAGTCACTTGAACTTAAACACACGCTATAATTCACAACGATTCACGCACTTTATTTACGGTCACTACCGCTCACTTGCCTCAATTATATCTCCGCTTTACTTGCCGGGCTTATATACAAAAATAGAGGGCGTCTGGCAAATACTAGAGTTGCCAGGAACAGTCATGATCCTTCTAGAAAATCATGACGTGTTACCAGAGTCACGTGACTTCCGCTGTCGTAACAATACGTTGTAAATGTTGTTTATGCTCTCAAAAACGAGTAATAATCCGACTTAGGTGATCAATTAATATCTCATCACCACAACCTCACTCCAAGTACTAACTGGCTGGCTAGTGTATTTTGGATCAGTTATTTTTAATAATTTCAATTTAGAAGTTAATGCTTTCTTAAATTGTGTATAATTATTAGGTGTAACTTCTTAAGTTATGCCATCATGAGTTACATTAGGAGGTTTTTTGTTTCAGCCCAACCTTTAACATATTAATACTTTTTGATATCTATGATCCAAGATGTCAGGTTTCCTGCTTGTAGCTCTCTCTGCTTGGATTTCTCACACCAAAGTTTGAAAGATGTTTTGTTGTATCATTTTAAGCTCATGCAATGTTGCATTTGATTTCATATCCTAGAGTAAGAGCTGAGTACTTTATTTATTTGAAATAGCTTACAGGTTTTGTGTATACGTTTGTGACACTACTTTGGAAGTTCCTCGCAGCCCGTTACGAAAACATTGGTCTAACATCTCAGTTGTCAGGAAAAACAAACTGATCTAACAGAGAAGGTATATCAAGAAACGAGCACTATAGACCTGAAAATATTAAAATCTTGAACATTACATAAAAGGGGTAGTACATGCAGCAGAAAGCAGACCTAACAAAGCGTAATAATAATAATAATAATACAATGGCAGCAGCAAAGAGAAGAACTCGTTAACCGGGTAAGTTGCTAATCATCAATGGAAATGAACTGTCCAAATCGTAAATATTTTCCACGCCACATTCGGTAATAAAACAAAAGGGGAAAGATACTTCAAAAGTTTCATTATGAACTTAAGAAGCTCAGCAAACAATGTATAGAAACATAATTAAAGAATCGCGTGTTAAACAGTAAAGGACATGACATAAAGTCAAGTTTTGTAGGACAGATACTGAAATCCAGCGTACTGTAGCTTTTAATATTGTGAAGTGTCTATCAGAACGTTGATGCTGGCGACGAAGAATTATCTTGGCCCTCGAAATATAGAGATAAGTTGTCAGATAAGCGTGATGATATCGATTGTTATCATTAACGCTACAACTAGATCTATACTTCATTTCACCATCGGAAGTCCCACATACAAATATTAAATTATAGCTTGACCAAATCATGCTAATGAAAGTAACGCCGAATGTTGAATGTAACAGTTCTGATAATATATGACCACTTTTTCAACAAACAAACAATAAAAGCTAATGAGCATGTGGTACAAAAGTTTATTTAGCTATTTATCCAGAGTTCCAGCATATGATTTTCGTTATCAAATCTATTTTGGGTCACGATCTACGATTCAAAATGGTTGTTTCTGTCATGAATTGGATAATAAAAGTTCAGGTTTAGCGAAGACAAACATCAGCATCTTGAGATATTGTATCTTGCTATAAGGGAGTGTAGGAATTCAAATCTTTGCATCCTGTTTCTGAGTTTGAACTCAGCGTCCTGAAACAGAAAGAAAAAATATATCATGAAGGCAATCTTAGAAGTTTATGGAGTAAAAAAAACATTTGACTTCACCACCTGAAGCTTTATACTTGGTCAAGAAAGTTCAGGAAAGGTTTATCGATTTCAAGTTTACAGATGTGTGGTATTTTTACTCCCAGTTACAAAAGAATAACACGGCAACTAGTTAAGCACATAACAATATTTATGGTTTCTATATGCTAGTTACAGAGGTAAGTATTAACTAGAATAAATAAATATATTTACCGACATTAGTTTGCCTAGAAGTGGGTTTCGTGGATGAGGTAGATGCGTAATCCAAACATCAGGTAGGACAACAAACTGATAGCTGAAGAAACGTCAAAGGTTTACATTAGTCGTAACTATACCAATACTATGAGTTATTTGTAAAGTTTGTATAATATAACAGTTTTCTGCCAATTTTTAATTACTATTTATAACTTATTTTATGGTGTATTACACAACGAAACAATACCGGCTGATTTTTCGAACTACAAACAACCACTAAATTTCAGACAATAATTCTACAAAACGAAAAAAATAAATTTGTTTTCGATATGATAAAATAGTTTTCACTATTCTTATCACATATAACACTGTCTTGTTTATGTAATGTTCCACAAAAAGGGAAACAGTTTTATTTTTTATAGTGGTCAAAAAGATATTGTCAGTAGCTTTTGATATTCATCTCGTAAGGAAGAGTCAACCTTTAAAATTTCGTTTTCTCCCGAAACTTAGTTGTCGATATACCTAGTTAGATGTAACATTTTCCAAACTCACAATACAAATATTTTTTAAACAAGGAGGTCGCAATTAATTTCGATCTGTATAAATACACTTCCTTTGTAAACAGAAATCTTGTGAAAGACAATTTGAAAACTATAGTATAAAGCGGTTCGAGTCTGTCCGTAAGGAAAATGGTCCAACTTCCCGACCACTGATTACTGCGAAAGTCGCAGGGGTTCTTGGCATGCCCCAAAAGGAATTCTAAAACCCATCAATCTGTTGATTCTCTCGTTTTTACAAGTTTGACAGCCACTTGAATATTCTTTCTTGCTGTTGCCAATGTATAAGACACACCGTCTCCGTCAAACCAACGAACTCAGTAGCGCGTCTGTTCCTAGCATTAATTCAACATAAATTATTTTTTTATCGGAAATTATTCCAGATGTTATTAAAAAACATCACAAGTTAATTAACAATCAGAAAATCTGCTATCATTAAAAATAAAAAGTAAAATAAAATAAGATGCATGGTATAAGATTAAATATAATAAATAAAATATCTAAGCCTTTAGTCAACAGGCCAATACAGGTTTGGCAAATTTTTAAAGAAACTATATGTTGAACGCTAAACATGGCAGACGTCATCAGAGCTGGTATGGTTACAAGACATGGTCACTCTCAAATGGAAGGAAGATGAGCAAAAGTTTTCTACTGATACCTACTTGTTAATTCCTGAACATTGTATAGAGATACGTTCTTCTGATTCACAGATGTCCGAGTTACATCACAGACATGTGTTTATAAGCAAACAATGAATCTTGACTACAGAAATTTGCGAAAGTAACGTGTAAGGTCTTAAAAGAAGGTTTATTAAAGGCACTTAATATATAGTTCAGTTCAAACTTAAGAAAACAGAGTAAAAGTAGTACATTACTTCATAGTGGTATAAATCCAGTTTTAACCCTGAAAATGCTGTCTAATTGTTAAAAACAACAACAACAAACGGAATATCCAGGTGTTTTATGTTCGATGGAATTCAGCTTTAATGATATCATGTATCAACAGATTGACGGATTCGCCATGGGTTCTCCTCTTGGACCTGCCTTAGCCAATATTTTCGTTGGTTTCCATGAAAAAGAACTATTCAACAAAGTTACCAGACCTGCTGTTTACTTCCACTATGTAGACGACACATTTGCCATTTTTAAAACTGAGCAGGAATGTGAGAGGTTCTTACAAGACCTAAACTCGTTGCACTCGGCTCTCAAATTTACTTTCGAAAAGGAACAACATAACTCTTTACCGTTCATAGACGTCTTAGTTGAAAAAAATATGACTTTCGTTTTCTCATCAGTATATACAGGAAACCTACCGTTACAGAACAATATACACGATGGGATTCTTTCAGTCCTAAAAGTCGCAAAACGAG